TGGAGGGGGGAGGGTAAAAACAATCAGAAAGGAAAGCAAAGGCATTATTTTATTCAGTCTACAGACAATGCTGTAAAAGGAAATTGGGTCCCCTAAGCATCTGCAGACAACGGATACCATGGAACTGCTTGAGGAAGCAACTGAGATAATTCCCAAGGTTCGTTCGGCCATGTTGTAGTATGTCAGAATTAGGGAATTCACTTTTATGGCTGAATAATATTCCCTTGTGTGTATGTACTGCATTTTATCTACCAATTGCTCTGTTTGTCATGGACACTTTGGGCCACTTCCACCTGGGGTGTGAATAATGTTGCTATAAACATGGGTGTGCAAGTCTCTCTTTCGTATCTTCCATTTATTCTTTGGTGTCTATACCAGAAGCAGAATTGATGAGTCATATGGTAATCCTATTTTTAATGTTTTAAGGATCTGCCATATCATTACAAATTGCTGATTTTTTTCAGGGCTAATTTACTGATGGTGTTCTGCGTTTTGGTTTGTGCACAAAATATTTCTAATGTCATTTCCTAGTGACAAGGTCATCAGATGCCAATGTACTAAATAACAGATTCACTGAGGCAGAGGAAGGGTTTCAGCCATCAGATAGGTATGCAGTATATCCAGCAAGGTAGAGAGGGAGTGAGCATGTAGTCAGCTTGCTGTAGAGAACAGTTTATTAAGGAAAATCCTATCTGTAAAGTAACTTTTCAGGCAATACCTTAGAAGACAAAATACAACCAAATTTCTGGAATAAGAAATAATCTTACATAATCACTATATTTCAATACTAGCTGATAATGCACATCAAACCCTACAGAAACATTTCTTTTGCAATGAATAAAATGGGGGAGGAGTTGATTTAAGTGTAGAGAGAAAAATTCAAATACATCTGTGCTTTCTAACTACAGCTGGAATATGAGGAGGAAAAATTCTGTAAGTTATCCTGATGGAGCTAGAGAACAATAAAGAATAAAGCAATCTTTTTCTTGAGATGTTTCAAGTTCATAAAAAGTATAAAAATTAGTAAACACCCCACATATCTACCACCTTGACTTAGAAATATTACATTACAGAAGTGGTTGAAGACTCCTGTTTTCTCCTCCAATTCCATCCCATTCCTATCCCCGAAAGAGATAACCATTCTGAATGTTGTCTAACTCCATCCACACTCTATCCTTTCCCAATGCCAAGTGTTCATGGCAGCATTGTCTTGCCTGTGATTACATTTTGTTTGCATTTGGTATGTAATTTGGTTTTCCCTCAATATTGTTTGAGATAAACTGATATAACATGGAGAGATCTTGTTCAATCATTTTAAGTGCTCTACCATAATTCATTAAATGACTACCAGAAGGTATTTATGCACTCTCCTAATAGCTATTTACCACTTCCTTCCAGGGAAGGGGGTTATTACAAACAATGTTGCATAAACCTTCTTGATTATAATTTCTTATGCATGTGAGACTTTTTTTTTTAACGGTACATCATCTCTAAGGTCAAAGTTGCTTACCCTCAGTGATATGCTCACTAGATATCACTGATCACTGGATATTGACAAAGTGCTCTTCAAAAGGGAGTACCAGTACACTTTCCACCAGCAGTAGGTACAGTTTCCATTCTTCACAGCCTTGCTATCTACTTTACAAGAAATGTATTAATTTAGCTGGTTTTGCTTTTTTATTAATAAGCAACATTGTAGATGGTGTGTGTATGTGGAGGGGGTGATCCACAATGAACAGAAGGAGTTAGAGAAGGGAGTGGGAGGAAGGACCACAAGAATTAAAGCTGATAAAGGAATTTCTGCTGATAGGAGACATGGCTGTTGGGGCTCAGAAAATGATACCCTAAAGTGTGGCGCTTTGACACGCTGAGCACTTTGAACTAACAGGCAGTCTCAGAACTGAAGTCTCTCTGACCTTCTCTTGCCCTTGTCTCTCTCTTATCTATATGAGGGCCAGATTCCCTCAAAAATTAACTGGAAGGCAGAAAGACTAGAATTGACCACAGGCCACATTCAGAGCCCAGATGAACTTTATTCCAGGCGATTGTCTGTTCCTGGGGCCCACTTATCTCCTCTAAAAATCATTTACTTTTCAGGCTGGGGGTGTCGATCAATAATAGAGCATTTGCCTAGCATGCATGAGGGCCTGGGTTCATCACCCAGAGTTCCTGTCACCACCATAAAAGAAAAAAAAAGTGCCTGTAGTCTCCTCTAAAATGTCACACTTCCCTCCTCTGTGAGTTTCAGCCTTCTGTTCTGCTCATCTTTGAGTTTTTAGACTTTGAGGGACTCCTCTGTGCTTGCATGTTAATACATTAGTGTGCCTCTTCTCCTGTCAATCTGTCTGTTGTCTGTTTCTGCAGACTGGATTATCAAACTGTCAGAGGATGGAAGGGGAGATCTCACCTCTCATCTCACATGTTTCAAGCGTCCATACCACAGCTCACTGGGCAGAAGAGTCCCGACTTCCTTTCCCATTTGCTGAGCAATCCCAAGTGGAAATCAGACCACTTTTAAATGTATGAATTAAATCAGAAATTTGCTGCTAGCATTTATCATTTTTAAGCAAATGTAAATCTCAGCATAGAATCTATCTTGATAAACATTAATAGGTGCATGAGAGTTCTTATGATATTTATTTAAAGAACATCATGAAAAATGTGTTATAATACTAAAGAGAAAAGAAAGTAATATGATTTTTTATAAAAAAGTTAAAATATTTTTTACTAGAATGAAATAGTACTTATAATTTAAAACAACAGATACAAATTTTATTGCAAATACATGATACGATTAGATTCTAAATATCCTTTCAAATAGCAAATCAGGTGTGATTGATTGAAACTACAGAACCCGCGGATAGAGGTGAACTGTGGTAGACAATCAGTAAAGCTCAGGGATGGAGGAGAACTGGCTTTGGAGTGAGGCAGACCCGGTTCTAAATCTCCCTAACTCTGCTGCCTTGGTCAAATGACTGAATGTGTTTGAGCCTCAATTTACAATTCTACAAAATGGTGTTAGAATATACACCATCTAAAGCTGTACTAAAAATTAAATATGAGCTGGAGATGTAGCTTAGTGGTAAAGCACTGTGCTTCTTTATCTCATGCATAAAGCTGTAGTGGTAGACCACCCGCCTTGCATGCACAAGACAGTGGGTTTGATCCCCAGCACTACAAAAGAAAAAAATAACAATGTATAAATGTATGCAGATCAAGCATAAAATACCTAGCATACAGTAAGTGCTCAATAAGATGCAGTTACTATGCACAAGTTAAATAACAGGAATTTAGATATCAATAGTCTTTTTAAAGAGTTACTTTATATTTCAGTAAAAGTGCTACACCTATACAAAGGCTGGCTAAAATCAATTAAACCAGTTTCTTTGCCCCATATAGATTTCTGGTAAGATTAGCTTTATTTCTTTATCTAAAATGTAATTATGATTCATGAAAAAATTCTCTAGGAAAGAAAGGCCAAAAATTTAAATAGCCAGATGCTAATAGGACAAGAATGAACATTGTGTAGGGTTAAAAGTCTCCAACACAGAAGTGCCTTCTTAAACTTAATCCAAATCAAAATGAAGAGAACTAAAATAAATAAAATAATCTCACTTTTCATCAACTGCTAAAACGTTGCAAATATAGGAATCAAAAGTTTTCATTTTATGTACAATTACAAAATTTTATCATGCAACAATTAGAAAGTCTGGAGGAAAATTAAATTGTGGTTTCTTAAAGTCTTTAGGTTAGAGAAAAACAAAACAGATTTAAACTGAGCAGAGGCAAATGTCTTAGAATATTCTATAAAGGAATATGTCTATCAACCCTCGGCCCAATGCCTGGATTGTAGCAAATGTGTTTGTTCAATGAAACTCTGCCACACATGCTTTAGAAACTCGAGATAAAAGAATGATGGAGGCGGGTAATTAAACTATGATATATTTATAAATGTCACAATGCACCCCCAGAACAACAATAATTTTAAAAATAAATAAATACTATATGGAAAAGGCTTAAAACATTTTAAAAAAGTAAAATGTTACTTAACAGTATTTTTGCAAAGATTTTGGATTGGAGATCTTCAGGTAACAATTGCTAAGGCATTAGAAGCACGTCCTCGATTCTAGGGCTCCATGTCTCAAGGTTGGCTTTGATTTGGGAATTCAAAGACAGAGATGAGAAAAGGTCACATAAAGATAAGCTGGAAGTCACACAAAGGAAATGAGTGATACTAGGCCCAGCATGGGTTTTACAAAACTATGAGATGCATTTCAAAGAATCACACAGTATAAATCACCTGGCCTTGCAAATGAATTTTAGACAACTTTGTAGGGTGAAGGAAATGCCTTCACATAAGGTATATCCCCGGTTAATGGAGAGAATGACATTGGGGCAGGTTGAATTTTGTAGACAAAATACAGTAAGTTTTTATTCTCCAACATTTTTGGGTGGCAGAAATGCCTTATTATCAGGTAAATTCCTATTAACAGGGAGAATGGCATTGGGTCAGGTTGAATTTTGTAGGCAAAACACAGTTTTTATTTGCCCTCTACCATCTTAATTGAAACGTTTCTCCAATGAACAAGGATAGCAACTGTCTGGGGAAGCTCAGAATTTTTCCTACTCAGAGCACTTTCAGTAGGAAGCATACTTTAGTTGGAGCTAAGAAGTCACAACAAAGCCCCAAACATTCAGGTGCAAGGCCTGACATATCTTCTGCAATCGCCTTTTCCTTCTCCCAGGTATGCACTGATTCCTTTCTATTAACATAGTCTCTTAGAAGACAACTCAAGTGGAACTCAGAACTCAAAGTTTTCCTTACATGTGTGTCATTACAATTCTACAGTGAATTCTAGATGGACCTCACCTCTTAACCAGCCCTTGGTGCCTAGTGATCACAATGACACAAACATCTTTCCACAAACATAGCTACTTCAGATGTTTGGGGTAATGGATCGGTTTCCCAGAACACTGGTGCTGAAATCAATGCTTAGTACCTTGAGGGACTGCAGAGAGTCTGAGTTGGTGTCACAGTAGAGAATGATATTGTTGGCCATGCTGAAGCTTTCTCTCACCCCAAGATGGTAAAACAAGGACGGCTGCCGGAAGGCATCACTCATCTCTACCACAGCAATATCTGCAAGCAGAAAACAAAGTCCCAAGAGATGACACTTAAATCATGCCCAACAAGCATGTTTGGTTGCAATAACTTAGTATTCAAAAGAGGAAATGAGAAAATGAAGGGATTTTCCCCCCGTTATTTAACAGTAAACTTTGAATTTGCAGTCTACTGGAAGTGGTTTTATAAAATTCAACAAACCTGCATTTTTTTAAACAAGAAGGAAATCATGTAATCATTGCAAGCTAAAAGTAGGAGCTAATGCTCTCTGTTAAATGTCAACATTAAAACAAATGGACTAAGATTAAGAATATAAAAATCTTAAAAAAAGAAAAAAAAAAACCCAAGCATATCCATAGGCTAGGTGCAGTGCCTCACACCCTGTAGTCCCACCTACTTAAGAAGTGCAAGTAGGTGGTTTGTGGTCTAGACCAGTTGAGATATCAATGCAACACCTAGTCAAAAAAATAACGGAAGCAAAAAGGGCTGGGGGCGTGGCTCAAGTGGTAGAGTCCCTGCCTAGCAAGACTGAGGCCCTGAGTTCAAACCCTATTACTACCCCACCAAAACAAAGCAGACCCACAGAAAATAGCAGTAATAAATGTAAAATGAGATTTTTTTTTAAAAAAGAAAATGTAAGTTTATTAGTTAATCCAGAGCTGGGTTTTATAATTAATTAATTAATAGGTAGTAAGTTCTTGACGATAATAATTATGGGGCAAAGTGTAGAAAATAATGACAAAGAAGAGAAATATAAACACAGATACACATTCTTTCAAAGTGTAGAAGTGACTGATATTCAGCTGATACAAACCTGATATCAGAATTTGACAATTTCATTCTAGCAAAAATGAAATTCAGATTACTCTTAAACTCATCTATAGGTATAGATAAAAATTTGAAAGAAAAACTAACAAAATGTATGAAGTGTTATTCTATGAGAACCCTAGATCCTAGGTTTTAAATTTATTTGGGGAATGCAAGGATGGCTCAGTGAAACAACCATGAGCATTTCCATCATGCTCCAAGAACATTAACTAAAATATAAAATCCATTTTTCATTAAAAAGAATCAAAGTGGGTTGGGAGTGTAGTTCCCTGTTAGAGAGTATACTTAGCATGCATGGGACTTGAATCCTTGAATTTGATCCCTAACACCACAAAAATGGGGGGGGGCACAATGGCTCAAATTTATAATCCTAGGTACTTGGGAGACAGAGATTTGGGAATGATTTGAGACCCACCCATGCAAAAAAAAAAAAAAATTCTCAAGACCCCATCTCAACCAATAAAAGCTGGATGTGATGGTGTATATCTGTAATCCCATCTACCCAGGAGGCATAGAGGATGGTGGTCCAGACTTACTCAGGCATAAAGCAAGATCCTTTCTCAAAAACAGCCAAAGTGAACAGAGTTGGGGGCATGGCTCAAATGGTACAGTGCCTGCCCAGCAAGTACAAGGCCCTGGGGTCCATCTCCAGTATTGAAGAAAAAAACAACAAAACAGGGAGTATGTGCACATTTCATAACAAGTGCCAACTTTGTACTTACAGGTATGCCCATGAAAATAATGAACAAAAGTCTGTCAACTACTCCCACAACTATATAATGGCTTATATTTTCCAATTTGGTAAGATCTTTAGAAAATAAAGAGGTGTAATTCTAAAACACAAAATAGACAGTTATCATTACTTGCAGATGTTATGGTTGTCAGCCCAAAACAAAACAAAACAAAAACCCTTTCCAATAGAATTAACTGAATAACTGCTGGAAATAATAGTGAGGTGTCAAGATGCAAAATTATTGTGATGAAACAAAGAACTTCCTTTATGATCATGACAAGCATTTGGAAAATAAATGACAAAACAGAACCCATTCACAATTATAATGAAAATGTTAAACATATAACAAACTTGCTAGAGATATGTGCAATAATGTGTAAATAAACAGGAAAAACAACCTTTATCTCACTTCTAATAAGAGTGCATCAAACTGACTATAAAGTGCCAATTTCTTTGCCTACCAAGTGGACAAAGGCATTTAAAAATTGCCAATGAAAATGCACAGAAACGAGACTCATGCTGTGGGGAAGTCTAAATAGACAATCTATACCCTTAAAGTTATGCACACGCTTTAACTCAATAAATCCATCCTTTGGAATTTAGCCTGAGAAAATTCTTACAGATGTCAGCAGTTACCTGTATGTGCACAGAAATATTATTTTTACAATAAAACAATTGAAAATATCCATATGTCCACCAGTAGGAGAATGGTCACACATATATGTGTATATGTGTATGCATATATAATAACACGTATATACAATATACACACGTAATATTCATTTTCAGCAAAGGCATATCATGTAACCCCAAAACCTTAAGGTAGAATACTTAGAAACAGGAGAAATTCAAGTTATTAAGTAAAAAATGTTATAATGTATACATTATAATTTATAGCACATCTACAAAAATATAATGTGCTCGTATTCGTGTAATAGTCTTATGAATACACTCATGTAAATTTTAAAAATATGAAAACATATACCAAAACATAAATCGTGGTAATTGCTGTGTTATTTTACTTCCTTGTGCTTCCTTTTACACAATTTTTATTATAAAATTTATTCTTTTTATAATTTAGAAAACCAAGGCTAGGGGAGTGACTCAAGTGATAGAGCCTGGCAAGCATGGGGCTCTGTGTTCATATACAACACCACACACACACTCACACACTAACTCACTCACACACAGGCAGACACACAGTCACTCACACGGTCTCACACACTCACACACCTCACACACACTATCATACTCCCACACACACACTGACACACACACTCACATGCTCACACTCTCACACTTCACACACTCACACACACTCACACACTAAGACACAGACACACACCAACACAAACACACATACACACTTTCACACACTCACTCTCACACACACAGTCACACACTCATACTCACACACCTCACACACTCATATTCATACACACTCACATGTATATACTCACACACACACTCACATACACACTCACACACATTCACACACACACTCACACACAAAACTAAGACAGGCACACACTCTCACACACCAACACACACTCACACTCACTCACACACATTCACACACATATACACACTCACACACCACATTCACTACTCACACATTAAGACACAGCCAGACACTCACACACCAACACAAACACACACACACACTAAGACATAGGCACACTCACACACTAACACACATACGAGCGCACATGCACACTAAGACAGTCACACTCACACACCAACACATTGACGAGCACACACTTGCTCACACTCACACCACACACACTCACTGATGCACACTCATTCTCACACTCATACTCACACACTCACTCACATACACTCACACACTAAGACACACACACCCCCACTCACACACTAAGGCATACATTCTCATGCTCGCGTGCACACGCACACACACTCACACTCTCACAGGCACACTCACACCCACTCCTCACACAAACCCCAGAAACCTATCAATACATAAAAAGAATATTTGAGACCTATGTGACAATGTAAACATTGTCCAACATACAAGACTAACGCATTTTTTCCACACTAGGGATGCAATCCAGGTCCTAGGACACGCTAGACGAGTGCGTTACTGCTGAGCCTACCCTCAACCCCCAAATAATGCATTCACAAGAAGCTATTGGATACACAGTCCGACTTACCTAATGAATTTGAAATTGGAATTTTCATTCAGAGAAAGAGAAATAAATCCAATGCAATGGAGGGGAAAGCCATAGAAGATTTACTGATGTACGAAAAGGGAAGACAGATCAAAGAAGCTTCAAAAAGTTTTGTTTCCTTTTGTTTCAAGGATAAAAATGACTTAAGGACTCTTTAATGTAAACAAAGACTATTCTTTTGAGGTGCTTAACTTTCTACATCACAAATCAACACATGAAATAAATGAGTCATTGCATACCTCCTACATTGCCATCTGCCTCCTGCCCCCACACTGCTTCCGCCTCCCCCAGGTGCCAGCACTCAACAGTCAATCACACAGCTTTAAAATCCACAGATAGCCAAGAGTGAGGCTGAGAGAAGTCAAATAAAACACTGGCTGATGAAAAGTAAGAAATATGCAAGAAAACCAACAGTTAAGTGGAGATAATAAAGGAGGAGGAGGAGGGGAATTTCTCCAGAGAAGTGATAACAACAATAATAATAAACTACAGAAGGTTTTCAGGTTAAGAAAGAAACTAGATATTTAAAAACAGCACAAGCAAAATATGGTATATTCATTAGATCTGAATATTGAAGAAAATACAGATCAATTTTGGGGCATAATAAAAAGTACTTAATATGTCCAATTTTAAAATACAGTAATACGGTTAGTAACTCAGACTTAAACTTTTCTACTTTAAATTCAGATGAGTGGTTGTTTTAAGGCATTATTATTTTTTTCTAAATTTATTTTTTAATTGCCTTAGAGAAAAATTCACTTTCTTTGTGTCTGGGATTCAGCTTAGTGGATTCTGAGAAATGTATACCCCACCACAGGCATGATACTGAACAGTCCCTTCCTCCCAACACTTTCATGCTTTCCTTCTGACATCAGGGGTCCAACCCAAACTCAACCCTGCAACCACCGATCTGTTTACTGTCTCTGTAGTTTCGCCTTTTCCAGAATGCCACGGAAATGGATCATACAGCAAGTAGCCTTTTGGGTTCGGTTTCTTGCCAAAATGCATGTGAGATTCATCCACAGCTGTCCACTCACAGGTGAAGGACATTTGGGTTGTCTCCACGATGGGGAATTTTGAGTGAAGTGGCTACTGATATACAAGTCTTTGTATAGATCTCTGCTTTTATTTGTCTTGGGTAAATACTTAGGAGTATTACTCCTAGGGATTATTGGGTCATATGGTAAGAACGTGTTAATGAGAAAATGCCAAACTTTTTCCTGAAGCAACTAGAATATTTTGCTTCCCACCAGCCATGTATGAGAGGT